AGGGTCATTACATGTATCATTGTACTACTAGAGGAGGGTCATTATTCATTTACGACTAGAGGAGGGTTCTTATCATTGTACGACTAGAGGAGGGTTCTTATCATTGTGCGACTAGAGGAGGGTCTGTAGAGGATCATTATCATTGTACTACTAGAGTAGGGTCATTATCAATGTACGACTAGAGTAGTGTCATTATCACTGAACGACTAGAGAATGTTCATTATCATTGTTTGACTAGAGGAGGGTCTGTAGAGGATCATTATCATTGTACCACTAGAGTAGGGTCATTATCCCTGTACGACTAGAGTAGTGTCATTATCACTGAACGACTAGAGGAGGGGCATTATCACTGTACGACTAGAGGAGGGTCATTATCATTGTACGACTAGAGGATGGTCATTATCACTGTACGACTAAAGGAGGGTCATTATTATTGTACGACTAGGGAAAGGTTTTAATAATTGAACGACTAGAGAATGTTCATTATCATTGTTTGACTAGAGGAGGGTCATTATCACTGTACGACTAGGGAAGGGTTTTAATAATTGAACGACTAGCGAATGTTCATTATCATTGTACGACTAGAGAAAGGTCATTATCATTGTACGACTAGAGTAGGGTCATTATCACTGAACGACTAGAGGAGGGTCAGTATCACTGTACGACTAGAGTAGGGTCATTATTATTGTACGACTACAGTAGGGTCATTATCATTGTACGACTAGAGTAGGGTCATTATCACTGTACGACTACAGAAGGGTCATTATCACTGTACGACTAAAGGAGGGTCATTATTATTGTACGACTAGGGAAAGGTTTTAATAATTGAATGACTAGAGAATGTTCATTATCACTCTACGAATAGAACAGGGTTATTTTAATTGTACGACTAGAGAAACGTAAGGTTAATAATCATTTTTCGACTTAAGACAAGTCTATCATTGTACAACTATAGTAAATGTTCATAATCAGTGAACGACTGGTTATATAAAGGGTCATGATAAATGTAAGTAAGTGTAAGACTAGACTGAAATAGGACCATTATCAGTGTACGACTAGGGAAAGGTCATGCACATATGCGGTCTGTTTATGGCACTATTTACTGCCAGCCACATCTGGTGCAGTGAACACTTTTTGTTCGGTTTGTAAAATGAAATAAGACACCCCTATATACCTTCCACTAAAATTAGTTTCTATAAAGGAGGATATCATAAGATTGTTTTCAAAACGCATGTTAAGTTACAAACATGTTTTTTTTCAGAATCCCCGGCCGATTATGACGAAGGGACAGTGTGCAACACCTTTTTGTATCGATTAATACGTGCAGGGGAAAAAACTGTTAAACATGTCGAGAAATCATTTTAACGATCGAATTCTAAAAGGATTCATTTTGTCTAGTGATGCTCTTTTCGAAATTCGACAATTGTTAGATAGGAGACAAAAGACGAGGTTTTCCGAAGGACTTTCGCCAGAGGCGAGGATGGCTTTACAACAAATGCGGGAGGACACGCGAGTGAAGTTTGATGAGGATTCGGACGACAATTCTGCTGGAGATGACGAGGAGAAATTCACAGGGAGGAAAAGTGTGAAAAAAACTATGAAATCTTCCAGAAAGTCCAGGAGAGATAAATCCAGGAGACAAATATCATTCACAGACTCTCCCAGAGGAATTACCAGCAAAGGTATAAAATGTGTTGGTCAAACAAAGGATGTTATTAGCACCAACGAATCAAACCCTCTAACAATAACAGGACGTGAAGGCAGTCGAAAGCAGAACGAGGGCGACGAGGTCATTTTAACCACTGATCCCAACCCAGTCGACAAATGTCGCGAGTGGGTGGCGGAAAATACCGTAGAAACAGCATGTGGTACGTTACACATGTCTTAGCTCCTGTAACAGCCTATACTGTAGGTGTTGGTAAAGACAGAGATAAGACCGTTGTCACAAGACAACGTTATATTAATCACGGAGGAAAGGTCAGAGTTTTTACCAATTTTGTATTATATATATTAAAACTATTGGCTCCACTCTGGTTGCAATTTGAGATAGATATCTGTTATTTTGATCTTTTTCTTGCGTTGATCAATTGTACATATGAAACATTTTAGATCACCGATGAGTCCAACACAGTCGTACAGTGCACTGTAGTCACGTAGTGGCATACTGTAGTTGTCACCTCCTTTTGGGGTGCAATCAGCTGTGTATAACTAGTTGTGTCACATTTATCCGATTTCCATCGACATGATTCTAAATATGGTATAGAAGGACATGTTTTTCGTTGTAGGTAATAGCGTGGTTGAGTATATAGATACATACTTGTGTCCTAGGTCCTGACTATGTATATAGTTTATTTGAATCAGTAATTAAGGAAACAATAACGTTATCAGTTGATACACGTATATTGACTACTGACTCCCCTGTCACTGTTACAGTATCGTAGACGTTCAAACTAATCGGTCAATCTAGCATATTGTTGGTTATCATTTCGTCATCTTGGACATTTGTAGCGTCACAGAAAAATATTCAAAACAAGTAACGAGGAAATAATATAAGTGCCATTTAGGGTGAGGGAATGAGGGATTATACTATGTACTAGCATTTAGAATTGAGAATAAACCTTAAAACTATCGTTGCAACTTACAGGTTAGAGATATTCTGAAAATGAAACATTGAACCAACATTGAGGGGCTACAACTTACTTAAAACATTCACTTCACCTACAGTATTGATCAGGAATATACTGATAGTAAAACACGCATAAACATTAATGATCAGGACTATACTGATAGTAAAACACGCACAAACATTAATGATCAGGAATATACTGATAGTAAAACACCGCATAAACATTAATGATCAGGACTATCCTGATAGTAAAACACCGCATAAACATTAATGAGCAGGACTATACTGATAGTAAAACACCGCATGAACATTAATGATAAGGACTATACTGATAGTAAAACACCGCGTAAACATTAATGATCAGGACTATACTGATAGTAAACCACCGCATAAACATTAATGATCAGGACTATACTGATAGGAAAACACCGCATAAACATTAATGATCAGGACTATCCTGATAGTAAAACACCGCATAAACATTAATGATCAGGACTATACTGAGAATAAAACACGCATAAACATTAATGATCAGGACTATCCTGATAGTAAAACACGCATAAACATTAATATAGTAAAACACCGCATAAACATTAATGAGCAGGACTATACTGATAGTAAAACACGCCCAAACCTTAATGATCAGGAATATACTGATAGTAAAACACCGCATAAACATTAATGAGCAGGACTATACTGATAGTAAAACACGCCCAAACCTTAATGATCAGGAATATACTGATAGTAAAACTCCGCATAAACATTAATGATCAGGACTATAGTGATAGTAAAACACGCATAAACATTAATGATAAGGACTATACTGATAGTAAAACACCGCTTAAACAGTAATGATCAGGACTATACTGCTAGTAAAACACCACATAAACATTAATGATCAGGACTATACTGATAGTAAACCACCGCATAAACATTAATGATCAGGACTATAGTGATAGTAAAACACGCATAAACATTAATATAGTAAAACACCGCATAAACATTAATGAGCAGGACTATACTGATAGTAAAACACCGCGTAAACATTAATGATCAGGACTATACTGACAGTAAAACACCGCATAAACATTAATGAGCAGGACTATACTGATAGTAAAACACGCATAAACAATAATGATCAGGACTATACTGATAGTAAACCACCGCATAAACATTAATGATCAGGACTATCCTGATAGTAAAACACCGCATAAACATTAATGAGCAGGACTATACTGATAGTAAAACACCGCGTAAACATTAATGATCAGGACTATACTGACAGTAAAACACCGCATAAACATTAATGATCAGGACTATCCTGATAGTAAAACACGCATAAACATTAATATAGTAAAACACCGCATAAACATTAATGATCAGGACTATCCTGATAGTAAAACACCGCATAAACATTAATGATAAAGACTTTACTGATAGTAAAACACCGCATAAACAGTAATGATCAGGAATATACTGATAGTAAAACTCCGCATAAACATTAATGATCAGGACTATACTGACAGTAAAACACCGCATAAACATTAATGATCAGGACTATCCTGATAGTAAAACACCGCATAAACATTAATGATAAGGACTATACTGATAGTAAAACACCGCTTAAACAGTAATGATCAGGACTATACTGCTAGTAAAACACCACATAAACATTAATGATCAGGACTATACTGATAGTAAAACACCGCATAAACATTAATGATCATAAACATACTGGAATCATACTGTAGATTATAAACTCTACCATCATAAAAGGTCTGTAACTTAATGAAAACCATAAACTCTACCATCATAAAGGGTCTGTAACTTAATGAAAACCATAAACTCTACCATCATAAACGGTCTGTAACTTACTGAAAACCATACACTTTACCATCATAAAGGGTCTGTAACTTACTGAAAACCATATACTCTACCATCATAAAGGGTCTGTAACTTACTGAAAACCATACACTCTGCCATCATAAAGGGTCTGTAACTTACTGAAAACCAGGCACTTTACCGTCATAAAGGGTCTGTAACTTACTGAAAACCATACACTCTACCATCATAAACGGTCTGTAACTTACTGAAAACCATAAACTCTACCATCATAAAGGGTCTGTAACTTACTGAAAACCATACAATCTACCATCATAAACGGTCTGTAACTTGCTGAAAACCAGACACTCTACCATCATAAAGGGTCTGTAACTTACTGAAAACCATACACTCTACCATCATAAACGGTCTGTAACTTACTGAAAACCATACACTCTACCATCATAAAGGGTTTGTAACTTACTGAAAACCATACACTTTACCATCATAAAGGGTCTGTAACTTACTGAAAACCATTAACTCTACCATTGTGAGGTGCCAGAACCATACTGAAATAATACAAGGGTCTGGAACTTACTAAAAATTCCGACGTCAAGTGTCTATAACTATAAAATGTATTTAACATGATACCTTTTTATCATTAAAAAATATTAAATGAAGAAAACAAAGATAACGAAGAAAGTCAATAGCCTATTTTCTATAGTATTAACAAAAATGAAAGTAACACATGAAATTGATGTTTTCAACAATATTTCTCCCATCTTTTAAATCATTATGAAAATAAATCCAATCTTGGAGAATTAACCATTACCCTGAAGGGAACGTACACAATTCATTTGTGAACCAGATTTGCAATAAAAAAAATCAAGACTTAGTTTCACCTTAAAGAAGGAGAAATTTCAGAAAGCCAACCATCATTTTTTTGTTAAATATTGGATGTTTTTGTTGTGATAATAACTTAGTATCAATATGTCATCCCCAAAATCATTATAAATTAGAAGATATTTCATTGTCCTTTTTAAATTCTACAAATAATATACGTATTAACGTTTTGATACCAATTAGTATATACCCAGCCCTGGTATTTGTATTTTACTCCTGCGCAAGGCCGATATTGTGTCCACCAAACAACCGTTATCAACATAAGGCTGGCTGAGCTTCTATTGATTAACAAGTTTTATGTTTAAATTAGAACTGAGAGAAATGCCTCTTTATGAAGTTTCTGTTTGTTAGACATTTTGTCTGTAAGAAAAGAGAAATCAGCATTCGGAGAAATCCCAGTCACATATCTTGTTTTGATTTTCCAGGTTTTTGATCATAATGACATGACTTAATTGCAATATTTCAGTTAAAGACTTATCATATAAAAGTCCTCTTTTCCGCGGTCCTTAATTTTTGCAGCTAAGCTAAAATTGTCACTTGCCGGGATATGTTTTTGTAGATTTCAGGTAAAGTGACCTTGGCACAAAGGGCGGTGGTGAAGGATGTATTAATTTGCTTTCACATTCGTAGGGTTTTTTTGCGGGAAAATTGTAACTTGGAAAATTAGACCCAACGAAAAAGTGTTTACAGTATACCAACATGCTTAACACCGCATGGCATTTCCACTCTTAAAATTTTGACTATTTTAGACGGGTTTTATATCAGTAATGAACTCGATTGTTGATGTAATTATTATTATGCTATTTATTATACTATATGCGATACATATACTTATTTCAGATGAATGCTGAATTTTGATCCACCAATAAAATTTCTGTTAAATTATAAAATTGTTTTTCTATAGTGCCTTAACTCACACACATAAAATACAAACTCAACGTTGATAAGAATGTCGACAGCAGCAGCTGACCCCTATCAAT